GGAGGGACCGCCCCGGGAGGGACCGCCCCGGCACTGCACGGAGGCCTCCGGCCCCTTGTGCTGAGCGAATGCTGCAGGGTTCAGCCCGCAGGCTCTCGGCAGGGGCAAACCCAGGCTTAGCCTCACCCCACAGAGAGATTTTCCTCTCACCTATTGTTTTCCTGCACTTTTTCTCAGCTCCCGTCCCCTTTTTCCACCACTCCCAACCCTTCAACAATCTCTGGTGTACCAAATCAGGGTGAGGCATCCCCTTTCTTTCGGGATGGACCCTACGTTACCCTCCCAGCTGTATCGATGACCGCTCGAGCCCCTACGCTTCCACAAAGCAAGAGCTCAAACTTTACTCGCATCTTCTTCCCAGCTGTGGCTGTTCCTGAGGCCCTCCAGCCACCCAGAGACAGAAAAGATGCATTTGCAGATTTTGAAAATTAAAACCATCTATACAGCCGGTGGGGAGGGATCAGCTTATTTGGTTGCTTAATGAAATATAAAGATTATTTTAACCAGTGTAAGCACTATTCGACAGCTTGTGAAACACAGCGGTGGCTTGATGAATGGCTTTCTCCATTACAAAAAATTGCTGCATGATGTCTTTTAAATATTTAATTTATTGGGCTTGGCGTGTGCTCAGAGCTGACAGTTAAAGAGGAGTTGTTTGCGGTCTTGGTTAACTTTACTATTAGGCTGAACAGTCTCGCTTAGTAAATGCAAGATATCTCCTTTTCCCCCATTTTTTATACTGAATCTGGGATGATACATTTGCTGCACAAGTGGGTAGGAAGTTCTGCCTGTCATCCGCACCGCAGCACGCCAGGCGGTTATCCCTAAAGCTGGGACGGGTACTGACTCCCATCATGAGTCCATCATTACTAAGTCTCCTGCTTTTTTTCTTCTTGTTATTTTTTTAATTGCTGCACTTTCTTCTAGGCCACCCAGAAGAGTTTGTTCAGACACACATGTACACATAAAAGCATCTTTTAACAATCAAATAAACTGAAATCTTCCCGGAGCAAGTGGAAACACTGGGATGAGACACAACATCATTGGCAGTGTCCTCAGAAGACTGCACAGTATGGGAAAATGTCCCTCCTCTCCCTCTTCATTTTTCCCTTAATGTGCCAGCTTGGTACGCAACCAACGGCATGCAAGGGGGATTAGAAAAGAAACAGGCGTTTCTGTGAGTAGGGAGTCAAAGACACTTGGCATCCCACGTATCTCCTGGCAAGGCTGAGCCCCGGTGCGGATTCTCCAGGGTCTATTAAGGATGGAGGTCTGGCAGCAGCCCAGGGCAGTTAATAGGTTCTGTGTCCTCAAATGGTTTTCACGAAACACGCAGGAACTTAATAAGCTTTGAGACCTCCGCCCTGCCAGCCAAAGCTGGTGAAACTGGCCAGCCGGTTCACAAGTTAGGAGGTGGGAAGGGAGGAGGTAAAATGAAGATGCAAACCTCTGTTTCCCTGCCTGTGTCGGCCAGAAAAGCTAGTTCTGCTCTTGGACTGCAAAGGCAAACCAGCGAACAACTCTCCGGATAGCTGCAGCGGTCTCGCTGCCGAAGGGGACCAGCCGAGCGCTGCTGCCCACCAAGAGCTGCTCTGCCACAGGCTGGGGCGGGATGATGCTCTTTGGAAACGAACCGTATTGAGGACGGGGTGAGGCTGAGCCGCAGACGCCGCCAGAACCACCCAGGGTAGTGTCTGGGTTGGGAACCTGCAGGTCCTTCCCAGGTGATGGATGATGTCCTCTATGGCCAAGTCAACGGCACGTGTCGCTGGGATGCGCTCCTGTCCCTTAGCAAGTGCCACCAGCAGCAAAGTTGTGCAGCAAAGCAACATCCCTGCTGTGATTTTGCTGTGTACCCATTGTGGGGAAAATACAAATGCCAAAAATCTGTTGGCATATGAAGCCCATCACTTTGATCAGAGAACCAGCAAACAATGTTGGCATCACTTAGGTCTTCCTTAAGCTTGATTAGAGCAGAGCTACGGCATTCTTGTGTCAGCATCTGAACCAAAAATACCCATTTTCACAGTGGTTCAGCTTAGAATAGCTTTGGCTTTCTCTCCTGTTAAGAGTGCATAAAACCTTGACAGGTTATAGATGAAGGTTATTACTTTGTTTTGGGGATGTCTTTGCTTTTCTAAAAATTAAGCTTGGGTAAATTTTGAAATGAAACATTTTGAAAACTAATTCGAAATTAATTGCCTGGATACCATGAAACAAAGCAGATCTGATTTTCCCATGCTTTCCAGAACTAGCTACAAAATATGTCTCAGGCACCCTGAAATGCATTTTTCAATAAATCAGCTAGTCATATAAAAATTGTCTGCCCGTATTTTGAGGTAGGGTTTTTTTTTTTTTTAATTATACTCTCATATAGGGTGTGGTAGGAAAGGATGTGACCAGTAACATTCTCTGTGGACCATAAAGATCTGGCTTACATTCCACAGAGTGAGGTGGGATGTGGGTCCCTTCCAACTTGAGGTAGTCTATGATTCTATGTAGATGCTGGACAGCCATCGAGGTGTTTTTTTTTTTTTTAATTATACTCTCATATAGGGTGTGGTAGGAAAGGATGTGACCAGTAACATTCTCTGTGGACCATAAAGATCTGGCTTACATTCCACAGAGTGAGGTGGGATGTGGGTCCCTTCCAACTTGAGGTAGTCTATGATTCTATGTAGATGCTGGACAGCCATCGAGGTGTTTTTTTTTTTTAGTCTAAACCTAAAAATAATTGGGGAGTGAATCCAGAGTGGGCAAACAGGGAGACACAAAGAAGATGAAGGTGGCATCAGGGTGTGTATCAAATTTTCATGGTGTAACCACACCTGGATCTGTTGCCCTCCACCACTGCCCTTGGCACTGCAATGATGTGGTGGCAGCGCCGATGGGACTCGAGGAAACGGGAATGTGGCCAAGTGCTAGATTTCCAAACTACCGGTTCGTAATCACTGCAGCCTCTTTGAGAAGACAATCCCAAAGGCAGCACTCTCACTCATGACACAAAATCCCTCAATAAAAAAACCCAAACAAACCATCCCAGAGGCGGGGTGTTTGACCAAACTGCAGCTGCATGGCTTCCCTCCGCCGTTCCTGGGCACCGTGATGGAGAGATGCTTGTGAGGGTGAAGCCAGAAGATGCCCCTGGTCATTGCTAGACCCTGCCACACAGAATTCAACTGCTTTTCCCAGGAACTACAGCTTGGTCTCTGGATGTTAAACAGGTCACTCCATGTTTGTGCTTCCTTACATGAAGGTGGTTTGGGAAAGAAAGGGAATTCAGAGCAGGGGGCTTAGTGGGACCGACTCGTTTCCATTCCTCCCTCTTCACTGAGAGTCCATCCTCCATGGTATAAATCCTCTACAGGCAAAAATGAAGGTCTTTCCTCAGTACAGAAAAAAGAAGTGATAATTTTTCATCCAAATTTTTGCTGTTCAGTGCATCAGGTTTCTCCTAAAATCACAGGAGTTGAATCACCTCCCTTCAGTGACCAAAACTGTTTTCTAAGAGGTTTCCTAGATAATCTGTCTACTCCTTAAGTTAGTCCAGCTGGACCTCTTTCTCTGAACAGTCTGACTTCTCTGACTTTCCAGACAATGACTTGCTTATGTAAATTCTGTTTTTAAAATTTTCTGTTATGGCAAATATTTCACAACTTCTTTTTCAATGTCTTATAAACTACAGAAAAGGCATCCTGGAGGCCCTCAGTCATTTGTACACATGGATGAAGGAAGCATCACTCAGCTTTTGAGATCAATATTAGCTCAGGTTTACAGATGGTCTGTAAGGAAAAACAGCTTGAAGTTTCATGCAGAGCCCACAGTACAAAAAAAGCCATTAGTTTTTTAAAATAATTTCCTTGCTATTGAGCTATGAAATGTCAGTACTTATTGCAAACTTTAATTCCCTCTTTAGCCATAACATTTTTGGTCCTATTACACTACAGATTTTTTTTTTTACAAGACGTTTGGCGGTTTGGGTTTTTTTCCTTTTTTTTCTGTATCGTTTGTGTTTTGTTAAGAAGAACCTTAAGAAAAATTAATGGAAATAAATTACGTATGAGTAAGTTCAGATGAGAAAGATTATTTGACATTATAGCAATGGGATTATGGAACAGCCCACTGCAGGCAATGACAGGGGCAAAATCCCATCTAGTTCTGGGATAGAGCTAGGCTGGTTCATTAGAAGTAACAACAGTATGATATGTTTTACTATGGTATGTAAAAAAAGATCCTTTCCCATCTTTTGTTCAGCATATCATAAGTGGGACATAGTCAGATGCTGACCTTTAAGCTTGGAAGCCAGACTGGTGTCACCGGTGCTTTAGGTCTACGCGAGGTATTTTGATTCCTGTCCCAGAACCTGTTGGGGTTGGGAGGTTGGAAGTGAGCCTTGCATGTGGCAGCTTAATTTTGAGCTCGGCATTTCCAAAGCTCTGCCGAGACACCAGAATGCTGGAGTACCACGTTCCTAAGCACCTCTCTCCTCCGGCTGCTGTTTTTCAGGTTTATGTCGCCATGCAGCACTATGGAGTGAACGGTTACTCCCTCCACGCCATGAATTCACTGAGCGCCATGTACAACCTCCACCAGCAAGCAGCTCAGCAAGCCCAGCACGCCCCCGACTACAGGCCCTCGGTCCATGCCCTCACCTTGGCAGAGAGACTGGCTGGTAAGAACAACTCATGGCTTTTGCCGTTCCCTGGGAAAAAAACCCTTGTCCCTTGCACCAAGTGAAACTCTTCCCTCAGGAGTTGGAATGTGACACAGCCAACTGGCACGGTGTGGTCCCCAATACTGGCCATGTGGCCAACCTCTTCAGGTGGCATATGCCCTCCAGTGTTGGCTGCTAGCGGACCATTGCACCTCGATCTAGAGTGCCTCCGATGGCTGGGGAGCCCGGGGGTGAGAAAGGACACAGCCCCACTATATGGGATTGAAAAGGGAGAATTAAAAAGACACTGAAATATATTCTAGTGAGTGAACAAAAAATAGTAGAAAATCTTACTTGCTTGTTAGTAAATAACAGCACAATGAACATGAGTGTGCAGTGAATTGGATTCCCCCACTGAGGTGCCCAAGGACTTGCATCCCCTAACAGCCATCTCCTGCCATCCCAGGCCATAGCTTGTTCTTCCATGTTGCCCCTTCTTGCAACTATTTTACATTTCTTGTCCTGCCAAACACTCCTTCTCTCTGGAAAACGATCTTCATTTGGATCTTTTTTGGGTCTCACCTTGACCTATTTCTTCCTGGGAATCCTAGACATTGGCTTGGGTGACGCTTTTCTTGCAGGTCCTGCTGGTTCCCTCTATGTTGCTTTTTTATTTTGCCTTCCATAAAAAAAAGCTATTTTAAGCTCAAAGAAAGTCACAAGTGACTTTACCCAGAGAGTATTATTTACAAAGCCTTGTTGATGGTCGGACAGTGGGACAGGAGCCACTGCTCCAGAGGATCTGATCTGTTTTTCTGCATTCAGCCATGAGTGTAACAGCACTACATTGATACTGTCATTAGAAGGAAGTGCAAAGTCCAGATACTATTTTACGGTTTGGTAGGGGGAATTGTTCAAAATAATGGATGGAGACCTGAGAATATTTAGTATGGTAGGGCAAATATATCTACTCTACATTTCAGCCTACCACAAAGTACCAAGATCTGGCTGAGATCATCAAAGGCTACTGCAATGCAAATGGCCAACAGCTGCAACAGCATCGTTTTGCTCAGGGCTTGGATGCAGTGTAGTAGAGCAGACCTGACAACCGATATACTGAAGCTAAAAGAAATTTCCATAGATGTGATTCTAGAGACCTTCCCAGAATGGAACAATCTTCCCTGACTGTCTGAAAATTAGACACCTGCTTTAAGATAGCTTTCTAGTTGTCTGATAATAAAGGGGAAAAAAAAAGTGGAATAACTCCTTCCAGCCTAGAGCAGGCGGAAAAAAATTATCTACTCAGACAACTTTAGTGGGCTAAATTTGAGAGGCATAGGCTTAAGCCAAAATAAGGTTGCAGAAGTTTCAGGATGGTCCTCCTAACTGGGTAGTCCATGAAGGCATGGTGGTAAATGCCTCTGACTCTTGGATCTTTGGATCAGTGAACCACAGCTGACTCTCAAATCTTCTTGCCAGCAATGCTCCCTTATCCAGCTGCTAGTAGTGACCTTAACAGGGTTCCTCAGACCACTGCTGCAAGACAGAGCAGGGAGTCACTGTCCTCATGGAAAGAGAACCAAAGTCTGATCAAGGATACCTGGACTCTAACCCTGGCTCTACTGCTGGGCTGCAGAGTGATGACAGGTGGGCACTTTCCTTGTCCTGGTTGTCCATCCCCTCCTTCCCTCACTCTTTCAGTGTGTAGGTGGTCAGATGGGCCTGAACTCTGCAATGTGCCTTGTAGACCTTGGGTCTCAAGGTGCCCCTTTCCTAGATGCAAGGATCTCTTGAAAGAGTTTTGTGATCACCTGTACCTTTTACAATAGAGCATGGGCGACTTAATGTCTTTGAGCTTAGCTAGAGTAAAAGCAGAGGGAGATAAAAAACCAAAAAGAATGAAAAAACTATTCTCATATTCTTGACCAGGAGATTCATTTGGTTTTCTGACCTCTTATCTTTAAAATTAATAACCCACCTGGAAGACTTTCCAAATTAAATTCCATGGTCCCCTTGCCTGCTTATCATTGGCAAGGTAGGCATTCTGTACCTACGAGCTCGTTCCTTTGCAGTTGCTTCACATTCTGTTACTTCTGAATATCTTTCAGTGCCAGTTATAGATCTCATTTGCCTTCCAGGGACAGTCAGAATAAAGCAGCACAAAAGCAAATGACCTTAAGTCAGAAAACAGAGTTTTCTGATTGTAACTGCAAAGCCTCACCTGCAATTTATATTCTCCTTCTTGCACAAAGCCTGAAAACATAGTTAAAACATTAAAATAATTGCTGGTTGGCTCTCGTTGGAGCGGCCAAACTTAATGTATGAGCTGCTGCCTCTGGGGAGCTGGTAGGTCTAACCTCTGCTCTAGAAATTCTGGAATATTCCAGCCTGCAGGTAGGGTGTTTAGCCAGTGTCCTTTCTCCTGATTTCTTGTACTTGAAACACAAATGTTAGCTTTGTAAAATGTTTCGGGGTTCAGCTTCAATCTCTTATTCTGGAACATCCCTCCTCCTCGCCTGGCTGCACTGTGAGCTGTGTCAGCTGCATCACGGACGGTCTCTTTGCCTCCAAAGCAGCTGCTATTACCAGCGTTTTAGCTCCCCAAGGAGCTCCGATACCTCGAACACAAAAGTCTCTTGTATGCAACCAACACTATATTGTATTTGGCCGAAGACCTTTAGCCCGATCGCGTCTCTTCCAGGTTGCCAAAACCACGCGGCTTTGGCAAGCGGCCAGAAAGGCACTGCAAATGCTGGCCTAGAATAAAACAGCTGGAAGTTTGGAAGAGGAATGCTTGAGTAGTGCAAAGCTGATTTGCTACGCTCGTTAGCCAACATATTTGGAACCTGGCTGCGTGGTTCTGGGGCTGGCCTGACAGCAGGCTTTGTTTTGTTGTTTACGTTCACGCCATGATGCTCGTGACAAAAGCACAAATAAAGAGCGGCAAGAGCCTTCATCTGGCTCTGCGCAGTATTAACGCCGGCTTTTCTCACTGTTAGGTTGTTTTCTAGTGTGTTTGTCCCTCCCTTCTACTGGAAGTCACATTCTTAACTGAATTAAAAGCGATACCAGACACGGCTCTTTCTGCATTTCCTCTTTGAGAGCAAACCTCTCTCCAGACTATTTCATTCCAACGCTGTAGCACAGCGTGTCCCAACTTGCATAATAAAGGGTGGGTTTTTTTCATTTTAAAGTAACTTATTTTCATTGATTTAAGATCTTTATACTCCCACTAGCTGTTGTGCAATAATAATGCCTCTGGTAAAATAATAAGCCCTTTACTGTTGGCCTCAGATTTTCCCCAGTCTGAATTTCTTCTCTGCCCTCAATTTTGGAAGCACAGCTTGCAAAGTCAGACCTTCTGAGCAGCTTCTCTGCTGAGAAGAGGCACACGAGCCCTGGGTTTGCAATCAGTGGGGCTGGGCTTGGCTCCTGGCTTTCCACCCCAGATGCCGGAGAGTGTCCGTGCTCAGTACAGCACGTGCTTTCAAGCTGAACGCACCCAAGCACATGAGCTTCAGTGCTTTCCTGAACTGGATTCCAGAATAGCTCTCCAGTATCATGCCTTGAAGACTGCAGTGAGCTACATATGAGACACTAAAGAAGAGACATCGCAGCCTGGTTTCTGGGAAGATGCATGTCTTCTAATGCAGGCAGCCAACAAAATGAGCTAGAGGCAGCTGCGTTCGAGCTGCGTGGACTCTTCCCACCGATCAGCGCAGCGCATCGTGGCAGTGTTGAAACCTACCCCAAGTTCTGCCCTTGGCTTCAAGGAGAACATGGCACATCATGTTGGGGCCCTCTCCTGATTACAGCAGCGAATCTCCTCACCTTGTTTTTAATTGTGTTTCTTAACGAAAGAGTTATGCCACAGCTGGGTCTGGGCATCTGCATGTCCTGCCCCACTGATGACGGAGCAGATTGGTTTATTTCAACCAAATTTAGCGTTGGAGTCTCAACAGTTTCCACAGCTGTCATAGAAAGAGGTTCCCTCTCCAGAACCAGTTTTCCAGTCAGAGGTTTTATCTCCTTGGACATCTCAATTAACGAGCAAAGTGCATGTATGTGTTTTATTAGATCTACAGCCATGAAAAAAAGTTTTGTAGGTTTGTCTGGTGTTAGCAAGTGCTTTATTCGACTGTCAGCACACAAATTCCAATAATTAAATTGGCCACTTTTCTTGTCTTCCAACGGCTGTACATTTCAAGACATCATTTTGGAGGCACGTTATGGATCCCAGCACCGCAAACAAAGGCGAAGTCGCACAGCGTTCACCGCCCAGCAGCTGGAGGCGCTGGAGAAGACCTTCCAGAAGACTCACTACCCAGATGTGGTGATGAGAGAGCGGCTGGCTATGTGCACAAACCTACCTGAAGCCAGAGTCCAGGTACCGATATTTTGTGGTTTTGTGAGCAGGGATGTTTAAAATAATATAGCGGGGTTCTCAGAGGGCTGACAGCTCCCTTGACCTTTCAAGATTCTTCCAGTGTGACCAAAGATTTTGGGGCAGTAAAGTTGTCAAAGGCGGGGGGGAGGAATAATATCATCCAAAGTCACACACCTGCTAAAGAAATTCTTAATCCACACACACATTTTTTAAATTTAGGGTTGTCTGAAGTGTCCACTGGTTTTTATTTGTTCTTTCACATTTCTTTGGGAGAAATTTTAGCAACATCAACAGAAGTCTACTTTTTTATTTATTGGCCTTTCTGACTTTCTCAGAAGAGCAGAAACCCAAGTAATTCCAGCTGCTTTTTTCCACCAGTGTCAATATTTGTAACATCTTAGGCCAAGGTTTGTTTTTTGGTTTTTGGGGGGTCTTTTTTGTTTCAACTAGTGCAATGTGCTTCATACCCTGCTGGGGGGGGAGGTTCTTGCATGGCTGGGCTTTAAAAGACAAAATAGCAGGTTCTTCAGTGTGAAGTGGATAAGTAGTAGAAAAATATATTTCTTCTATACAAATGTCAAGGCATTTTAATTGTCATAATTTTTGTTTCCTCATCTAACTAACCAAACAACACTAACAAGATTTGCAAATACATTTCTTCCAATCCATGTCTACTCATTTAGGTTAAAAAATATGGATTCTTTCCTCCTTCCCTAAATTAGGTTCCCAGATAACAGCTTATGCCTGTAATGACTTATTTTGAGTGTTGCCTCCATAGTTTTGGTACACTTATAACAGAATGGTTTTATAAACTAATAGAGCCTTGTAATGTAAACCAATGTAATGTCATCAGACTCGGCTATAAGACGTTCTGGTTGGATGCAACTGCCTGACCAGTTTAGAAAAAAACCCACCAAAAAAACACCAAAAAACACCACCAGTGGAGTGGTTTAAAGAATCAACATAAAGGCTAGACATTTTTAAAAATATATTTGTTGTGCTATTTGTGGAAGCACTGAAAACAGGTAGAGCTCTAAGATCGAGCAAAGTGGCAAGACATTTGGGCACAGTGGGCTTGAAGTACCTCATTACTTGTGGTTCCCCTAAATCTCCCAAGCTGAATGATGCTGAATTTGGCACTAGCAGGATTGTCACCAGTTTTCCCCCTTGCTGTTTCTGGTATTGAAGGTTTGGTTCAAGAACCGGAGAGCCAAATTCCGGAAGAAGCAACGTAGCCTGCAGAAGGAGCAGCTGCAGAAGCAGAAGGACTGTGAAGGGAGCCATGGTGAGGGAAAGACGGAGCCTCCCATGCTGGAGACCCAGGCCACCACCCCAGACACTGAGAAAGTCCAGAGCCTCCCAAGTGAGGTAGGCACGGACCTCAACCTAACCCTGTCGGAGCAGTCGGCCAGTGAGTCAGCACCCGAGGACCAGACTGACAGAGAGGAGGAGTTTAAGAGCACCTTGGATGAGGCCAAAGTGGACAAGAGCCCTGGTGTGGACAGCAAGGCTTTGAACTGCAAGAGAGCGAGCCCAAAAGCAGGTGAGGGGCAGCATCTTGACGAGGGTTGGTGTCAGGACCTGACGTTTCCAAGGGGGATGCTGATGGTTGGGTATAGTCCCTCATTCCCTATGTCATGGGGGACAGGTAGTCTGCCCCAGACTTGACCCACAGAGGGCATGATGTCTATTGTAGCGGGAGCACAGAAAGAGCGAAGTCATTCTGCTTAGGTTAGAACTTGGGCAGAACAGTGCCCAGCAGCAGCAGGAAAGCCATAGCAGAGGTCAGCCCCACTTGTAAGATGCTAAGTATGGAACAGACACAGCTAACACAACCCCTCTCATTTGCCCTTCTGGGATCATAGAATCATTAAGGTTGGAAAAGACCTTTAATATCATCAAGTCACCCACGCTGCAGTCTGAACCCTACTGGGGTGCAGATCAGCACCTGCTTCCCGCCTGTAGAAATAACCCCCATCCCCTCTGTCTCCTGCTACAGAGTCCCCTATCAGCGCGGCTGTGACGCCTTCATCCAGCAGTGGCCTGGCTCAGACTCACTCCTACTCCTCCTCGCCCCTGAGCCTCTTCCGCCTGCAGGAGCAATTCCGCCAGCACATGGCGGCCACCAACAACTTGGTCCATTACTCCTCCTTCGAAATGGGGACACCGTCTGCCATGCCCTACTTGGGCATGAACGTCAACATGGCGCCGCTGAGCTCTCTGCACTGTCAGTCGTATTACCAGTCGCTCTCCCACGCACAGCAGGTCTGGTCCTCACCCATCCTGCAGGCGTCCAGCTCCCTTCCAAGCCTGAACAGTAAAACAACGAGTATTGAGAACCTAAGGCTCCGGGCAAAGCAGCACGCGGCATCCCTTGGGCTTGACACCCTACCCAACTGACTGCCAGATGAGCTACCGTTGCCCACCAGAAGATGTACCAGAAGCTGGCAGTAGACATGTCACTCCTTGAACTCCCACCCACCCTCATCTCTTCCTGGAGTAAGATGCTCCCTTTCAGGGAAAACTTTGCATTTATTAACGTCTTATTAGCACCACAATTGCATCACACATGGCTACTGGCCTGGTCTTCGCTAAATATTTAAGGAGGAAGGGGGAGAGGATGTATGTTTAGGCAGATGAACTCTCCTCTGGACTGCCATGAATTAAGCCTGTAACGTTCAGGAGAAGCCCCCTTTCCTCATCCCCGCGATGATGTGCCAACTGTGTTATATACACCTTTTTTTGTTGTTGTTGCGTTCTTTGGGAAAAAGAGAGAGTCCTGCTTTGTCTTGTATATAGTTTATAATGTTGACAGCACCCATCACCCGTGTGTTACTGTCAGTGTTACAGAACTGTGACCTCTTTTACTTTTATTCCCCCTCCTTCTCAATTTTAGTAGCTAGTATCAAAGTTACAAATCAGCCATCCTCACGACCTTAGCTTGTAGCTAGTTGCTCTTCTTGGGTCAGTGTCCTAAAGGTGTTTATGGCAAAGAAAAACGATTGTGCACTTCACCGCTCCGCTTCTCCCTCCTCTGCTAAAGTCAATTTTATAACAGCTGGGAAATGATGTGAAGGTGAATTTCCTGTTTAAGCACTTCCTATAAGGCAAGCATTTTTTGTTTACTTTTTAATAGCACTTGTTCAAAGAGAAAGGACAAAATATTGGCCAAATGCTGCTGGCTGGGGAGAAAAATGAAAGTCAAATTCACAGGATTATTTTTTATCTATCTATCTAGATTGTTTCCTCTTTGATTGTCAGTGAAGTGTAAACTCCTCTATTTACAAATTACAGGGTTTTCTTTTTGGAGAGCATTTTGGTTCAACTTTGACAATAGAGAATAATAAAAACTTTGTATGAACTCCTGGTGCGTTCATACACCATGAATTATACGGTTCTTTGACAAAAACTTGATTAATGCAAGCTGTGTTTAGAAAACCGCTCTGATCACCAAATTCTAACCTCAAGCCCTGCAGCTTCAGAAACTGGTTAGCAAGTGAAAATGTAACAAGGGAAAAATGCTGCAATGCTGGAGGCAGAACAGGTGATAAGCAGGGGCTTTATATTCTCTTCATATTCTCTGGAGCTGAGGGGGCGTAAATAAATTTGCCAAAAATACAAGGTGTGCAAGTAACCAAAATTCACCAGCTTCAAAATAATTTCAGTGAACAGTTTCAGCCTCGTTTTATTTGAATGACCTATCATTCAACCTGGGGTGGTTTTCCTTGTTGAGAAGCAATGTTTCTGCCAACTCAAATGATGGGGTTTTTGCCAAACCAAATAAATCCTTTGAACTCGCTGCTGTTATCCTGAGCATTAGGGAGGGATGATATCCAGATCTAATCTCTAATATTGCCTAGGACAAAAAAAATCCAGACTGACTCTGTGGCAGGTTCTAGGTTTGAATCCCAAGTGTGTCAGCCAGGTCTGCCACTAACACACTGGGCAGAGCTGTGCTAATTCACTGCAGATGATCAGCTGGTCCGTATTTGATTTAAGCCTGAAGTGTAGACCCACAGCCTACAGCCCCTCTCGCCCCCACCTTGTTTCACACCAGGGCAGAAGCCAGAGGTCAAATTACCTCTTAAAACACAGGGCAGAAAGAGTGCTTTCAACTCAACTGATGCCTCTTGAAAAAGCATCTAACTCCTGCAAATAGAGACGTAAGAATAGCCGAGTTTGGTGGGAAATGATGTTTTATCCCTCATAAAGTTGTAGCAACAGCAGACCTCCGGAGAAGGCAGTTCATTGACCGCACCAGCTTCCAAGGGAAATGGAGCAGCTTCCTTAAATATTTCTGTTATGCCAAACACTTCAGTCTTGGGGTTTTCTTTCCTGCATTAGTTTTCCTGACTTTGTCAAATCTGCCCCTGTGACCAGCAGAATATGCTACTTTTTCAAAACCAAATGTATTCATAGGAAGTAGATTTTTGGCTACCGCTTTCAAAGGAATCTGATTAAATTAAAACCACCCAAGTGCACTTACTGTCTCCAAATAGGTCCTTTGGAAGCCCCAGCTTTCACTTGTTGTAGCCTATCGCCCAAACCAGGGACACCAAAAGAAAGCTTTCATTTTTCACCTCCCTCTTCCTCAAAAAGCTATATTCACCTTTACTTTCCCTGCCTCCAGCTAACCTCAGCACATTTGTAGGCTATGGAGTTGCTTTGCCAGAGCAGAGCAACTGCACATTTAATTAACGCCCCTTCTGATGTGACACCAGTCTAGACTGAGGTGATGAAGCTAACAAGGGTGGTAATTGGCAGTGAGACCAGATCTGGACTTCAGCTCTTCTTTAAGTAATAAAAGATGTCCGTGAAGCTGCCACTCATGTCAGTGGGTGTTTCAGGCAGAGAACAGAGGGGCTTGGTCGCTCTTGTGCCATCCCAGGTAAGACAGGCATCTCTCCCCTGCCTGGGTACCACGGGGCTGGAAAGGGCGACGTCGGGTCAGATCAGGGCAGATACAGCCTTACCGTGGGTCATGATGGATACCACAGCATCTGCCACAGGAAGGTCAAAATACGCGGATTTATGCCCTGCTTCTGCAGGGCAAGGACATGGAGTGCCGGAGATAAGCTCGCTTGATCCAGAGCTAGATTTGCCGTGATCCTCCGGAAGCAGAAAAGACCTCTCCCACCGAGCCATGGAGGGAAAGTCTTCCCTGTGCCTCGGTGCACAAATTCATTTTAACATTCACCGTCTCCACGCATCTCGACCGACCCTGATGCCTGACCCCTTCGTCCCCCGTGATATCGCTGACATCCTCACAGCAGGCTTGGATCAGCTACCGGCCACTTCCCAGACGGAGCATCTGGCAAGCCATTAAAACCACAGGCATCGGGATGAGGCCAGCGCAGCCCAGAAAGCAAACTGGGAGAGAAGACATCCGGATCTCCATCAGTCCCTAGGGATGTCTCTTCAGTGTCACCCTTGTCTGCCTCTGCATGGTGCAGCAGCTCATAGAGGTGCAGATAGTCTTGGACTAGGGCATGAGAATATTTCTTATGTGGAGATTATTTCTCCCATTCTGAAGCAGGATGAAATATCTAAAATTTAAAAATAAACAACAACAAAAAAAAATGTAGCTTTAAATATATATGATCCCCCGAAGTATTTTATGCCAACTTTGGATTTTACCTTCTTATGGTCAAAATCAAACATCCGCACTGGGAGTAAGCGGACTTGTAAAGCCAAAATTGATTTGGAAATGTAAAAAAGCAAGAATTTAGCCTCCCGGTTTGCAAAAGTTTAATAACGAATTATCTGTCAAAATTAACTTTTTCCTACAAATTGTTTTAATGCCTCTGGGCTTTTGGGCTTTTCCTGATTTAAATAAACAAATAAATAAAACCCACAGGGAGAAACTCCCCACCCAATTCAAGCCTGTGTATGTAGTGGGAAGACCAAAGGGACTCTGCATCATTCCTCTTTGAACTTTAAAGACCTGAAATTTTCTTCAGGTGGGCAGAACTCCTGCAAATCCCCCCTGATTTGTGACGGAGAAGGTGAGGTCTGCTTGTTCCCTTTCCTTCCACCAGCCCCAGCTATTTAGGAAAATGAGGTCGTTAACGAAGTCTCAGAAACAAAATAGAACAAGGTTTCCCTCCCCTCACTGTATTTTAACAAATATTGCAGCTGGATACAACACAGTTTCTTCCATCACAGCCGTAAAATGCCTGGAGTGCATCCCAGAGAGAGGGATGTCAGACAGATGAACTATTAGGGGGTGGGAAAAAAAAGCTATCTATCTTCTCGGGATGCTGTGCCAAGCTGGTGCCAGGGCAGGGCATCCCTGGGACAGTTACAGCTGCCGGGAGATAAACGCAAAAAGAGAGGCAACATTTTGTGTTTTGCGATGCAGACGATTGAGTTGTTTTTTTAACGCATGAAAAGAATTCCGGATAAATGCATAGCATGGCATGGAGGCTGGGAAAAGGATACGCCCGGTCCTTTAAAGACAGTGATGGAGAGGCTGGGAAAAAACATCCTTAGTTCCTATTTTGAAGCAGGTTATGTATCTGGAGATTTCCTCTGCTGGTCTTTTCCCCTTCCCATGGCTTTGCTTATGTTGCCTCTCCTTGGTGAACCGGCTACGGCTCCAAGCCCTGCTTACCGAATTTTTAAAGGTTTTAGCTACAGTCCTTGCAGGATCAGGGCCCAGGAGAAAACAGGTCACAATATTCAGAGTAAGCGTTTGCAGCTAAATTTCTTCTACTCTGCAAGAGAAGTCTGACAGGTATTAATAAACTAAAGCAGGTACTCAAACAGTACAGGAGAAATACTAAATACTTACTAGTGGTGAGAGAAGATCCAGTAATGATGCTGGGAGGCAGAAAGTGAACCTCTTTTTTCTCCTTTTTCTTCTTTTTTCTTTTTTGGCAAACAAGGGGAAATATCCTCGGTGGTGAATAGGGGAATAAAAGAGAGAGAAGTTTTGCCCGTATTTCCCCCACCAAACACCATCATTTGCGGTGTAGGAAACACAAAAGCGCTCCCGAACACGGCAACAGGCATCAGCAAGCGCATCGCCCCACATCTCGTTTCTCATTCAGGTATTTCACCACGTGAAGAATTTTAACCAGCTCTAGGTTTCTGTTGCCACTGCAGCCAGCCAGAAAGCGGCTCATCTTTGCTGAAGAAACACCAAAGTGCGTGGACACAGAGGAGGGAACTGGAGCTGTTTCTGTCCCTGGCTGCCACGTGTGGTACTTCCATTGACACCACAATTCTGAAGAACTTCAGGACGCTTCTGAAGAGCTCATCCGTAAAGGATTAAAAAAACCTCCGTAGAAAGGAAATGCAAATTCAAATCCAACATATTCTATTAGTTTAATTACCGTAGCTATGAAACATAACTCAATTAAGCTTGAAAAAAAGTCAATTACAGAACTTTCCTGCTG